ATGCAGAGGAAATGGATATCCATTCCCTCCCTCTCCCCATGCCACCTGATTGTAGAAGTGTTTCTCCTCACATACCCCTTCCTTTTGTGGGGAGAGTTAAGGATCTCCATCCAGGTCTTTATTTCTCCATGCTGAAATGGGCAAGCAGGCATCTTCCCGATCTCCCTAGGTTCTTTAAGAGGATGGGGGAGCAGCAAAGCACAAGGGTGCCCTCTATTCCACACCTTCCAGTGTTCTTCCCTTTGATTATACAGAAAACTTGGCGTGGGGGGAAGGGGTATGTTTTAAAGTCAAATTGCTACTGTAAGTAAAGAACTGCAGTCCAAGGTCATACAGGAAGTATGTGGCAGACCCCAAGCTTCCTGGAATTGAATCCAAGCTTCCTTAGTCTCACACTAGTTCCACAAAGATGAGAATTTCCTTTTTTTAAATTAAAATTCAGATAACATGACAGAACTAGATCTAAGTTGTTTACCAAAGTCGGACTGGACCATCAAGTATAATCATTCAAACTCGAATCTGAGAAGTGGGCACAGACTACGATGATTCTGTCCCTTAAGAATTGACTAAATCAGATGGGAACAAGGTCATGTGCATTGTTTTTTCTATCTTGTCAGGTGCATGGGATTTTTAAATAACATTTTCTCTTGTAAAGCCGGAAACTTGATCAGTCTCTGAATCCTTTTTGAATGTGAAAATCCTAAGGTGAAACTTGTTAGAAAAAGAGCGTTGAACAAACATGGAATTGATTAATTTATTGGCAAAGTTGAGTGAAATTGTACTGGCTGTAGGTGTTTATATAGCCTCAGACCCCTACCAAGAGACCGCCGATATACAGGTGGTGTGGACCCTAGGGTAAGATTGCCCAACCTGCCTAGAGGGTAATCTTTATTCTCTCGCCCACCATGACATGATGTAATAACTTCTTAGGAGGCAGTTCCCCATGGGTGATCTTCCTGGTCCCAATCTCTGTCTTTGTGGGACTCCAAACTTCCCCTTTACCTCACCCTAACCACTCCAGTCTTTGATGGAGTTGAATTTGGCCAAGACCTGATGACAAGTGCCCCAGTGGCTCAAAATATAAAGCTGTCAGTGGCTACCAGCCTGTAACCAGGCCAACCATAATTCTGGCTCTGATTGTGCCTACACTACTTTACAGTCCAGGGTCCTTAGTTGGATTCCTAACAACATAAATGATATATGGATTCCTAACAACATAAATGAAATCCACAGTCTCTTAGTCCTTATCTTCAAGGCCTGGCTGATCAGCCAAAAACCTCACAGTGCCCTGATCCCTTCTTCAGGACACAGTCTCCAGTCTGTTAATCTATCTGCTCTGCTTCTCTCCCCTCTGGAACAGAGCATGACACTGTCAGGGGGAGCAGTCCCATCACCTGGGCCCCTTGCCCGATTGACCACCACCCAGGTTTCCCCTGACCTTATAGAAGAATCACCGCCATTTGTTTTGCCACAGTCCTCAGCAGCTGCTCCTGCATCTGACGGTATCTGTCTTAGAGCAGGCACTCCTCCAAGCTCCCCATCTTCTAGGTCATCTCAACAGCGCTACAGGCAATGTGCGCTGCTCCTGCTCCAGGAACTGCTCTGCCACTCGTCTGTGCTGCTTGTCGTGAAGTGACCCCCTCTGCTCCTCTCCAGGGCCAGAAATACTTCCTGGCAGCCACTCTCCGCCAATCCAGAGCATCAGGCTGCTCTGGAAGTGCTGCAGTATCTGCCACACACTGCCTCCGTGAGCTGCTCGCAGCCAGATCAGTCATGCATACTGCACGCTCCCTTCGCTTTCTTCTTCTTCAGAGAAATGCAAAAGATAAAGGAGAAATTAGATTTCAAAAGGTGCTTTGGCAGTAGTAATTCAAAATGGTATTCATAATACTGGTATGAGGGTTATGGTAGTAGTGAAAGGCTAATGAGAATATATATATATGAGCCTGGAAAAGCGTAGGCTCAGGGGGGACCTGGTGGCAGCCTATAAGGACATCAGGATCTGGGGGAACACCTGTTCACCAGAGTGTCCCAAGGGATGACAAGGTCCAACGGTCACAAACTCCTCCAAGACTGTTTCAGGCTGGACATAAGGAAAAGCTTCTTTACTGTCTGAACCCCCAAGGCCTGGAATAGGCTCCCTCCAGAGGTGGTGCAAGCACCTACTCTGGACTCCTTTAAGAAGTGTTTGGATGCTTACCTTGCTGGGATCCTTTGACCCTAGCTGATTTCCTGCCCTTGGGGCAGGGGGCTGGACTTGATGATCTCCCAAGGTCCTTTCCAGCCCTAATGTCTGTGAAATCTATAAAAAGGTCAAGAATAGAACCTAAAAGAAATCTATATAGTAATGGAAGGAAAAAAGAGAGAGATTTTTTCCCCTGCTCCTCAGTTCCCCCCCACCCCAGAGGATGCTCCTTTTACTGCTTGAGTCTGCTCTACTTACATCTTTTTGCTCACAGCTTTTCCATGTGATCCCCATCAGATATTCGGCATGTGGATGAACAGGTGAATCACTGTGTGTGTCTCAGGAGGAAAGAAAAAATGTTTTCTTTGATAGATGGCCACAGTTTTAGAAATGCCGTCAGTCTGAATTTACTAACTACAATTACTGCTTTCTTTTACTCTGTATTTAACATCAGCAACTGCCATGTCTATCAGAGCTAAGAGTATGACTAGCTTTGTGTAGAGATGAGGTCAAATGCTTGTGCTATCCATGGGCTTTCCACAATTATAAGAAAAGCTTGATTTCTCATTTTGAAACATCTGTAAGTGTTGGCTTGACTGTATTGGAAAGTGGCAAGCTGGGTGGGGGGGATTCTTTTAAAGAATAATGGAACACTTTTTAAAGGATTATAAACATTAGCCAAGAAATTTTAAATTCCTTTAAATACCAGGATGTCACCCTGGCATGATGTGCTAAATAATTTGAGCATCACTATCATTGCTTCTGGGCCTGGGAGGTTAATTCCCCTCAATTTTTTTTAACATTTAGCTAGTTTGTGGATGTATGCAAAAGTGTTGACTTAACAAATTTTCCACGTTTATTTCTTTTTGGGGCAGCACTTCTAACTACAGCATTAAGCACAGATTGAAGAGAGACTGCCCACGTGCCTATACACCAGCTCTAACTGGCATAGATCGTGCTATGGTTTCTGCTGCTTTAAGACTCCTCTGCAGCTTCCTAAACCTTTAGCTGATGAAGAAGAAATTACATATTTTCAGAAGATATTTAATGCTCAGAATACTCCTTGAAAATACATCTGGGCTAATCTCATCACCCAGCTGCTGGAAGTTTGCTGCCAATATTTCTTCTTGTTCTCTGTTCAAGTCCTGAGACTTAGCTGTGTCATAAGGAATAACAAATGTGTCATGGCATGATTTATGTACCGAGTATCTGTTGTAATACAGCCTTCTTTTGTGAATGGGAAGCAGTCCCTTACTATCCACAGCTTCACTAATGGGTCTAACAAAATCAGCAGTATAGACTTAATGCTGTTTTTTTCATTATGCCTCTGTGGATGATAATTAGTATCAATGGAGTATATTTTCTGATCTGTGCACATTGCATAGACCATAAAAACTTGAAAAATAGAAAGCTGGCATAGCTAGATGACTTCTACCTTGTAAAAAAGACTTTAGTGCTTGTGATAGTTGGGAGAGTGATGGCACCACAACAGAAATAATTCTCTTGTCCTCAGGATCAGTTTACAGTGGGCAGTGGTGATACTAGGTTGTTCTTGGCAGCTCCTGGGATTCTTCCTCAGCCCTGATCTAGAGTAGCGTTCTGTCGGGTTAAGAGGCTGGTGCAGTTCCTGCGTCCTTTTTCCCATTCCCAGCCTTCATTTTCATCTGCTTTACTGTCAAGAAGCATGCTGCTTACAGCATGGTGTATGCATCTGCTGACTTCCTATGGACTGCTGAGTAGTCTTCACACACAGAGTTCTTGGTTACTACTCAATGAATCGGGCTTTAAACAGTAAGAAGCCAAATCTTGTGTATCCCATGAACTGCCTCCTAAATCAGTCAGGTCTTACAGTCATCTTTGATTTGCATAAACTGGTAGAGTTTCTTTCTTCTGGAGGCTGCAGGGTCCCCTTCAGAAGGGAAAACAACCTGTAGGGGAGAGAAGCATGTCTGTGACAGTAGAACCAAGTGCTTCCTTTATGTTGGGGTTCTACATGCACATCTTGCTAATTTTTATTCTGGTTACTGAGACTTTTAGGAGAGACTGCAGTGTAGAGTTATAAATCTGACAGTTTATTGGCTTTGGGTTGGAGGTGAAGAGCATGTTTTAAGGAGGAGCAGATTTCTTCAGCCCTCCTTTTAAAGCTGTAGGGGGCTGCCTGGAAGAACATGCACATGCAGGTGAAGATTGGGAGGAGCAATTAAGGGGGCCATTAAGCCTCTGTCTTGAAACATGTGAAAAGGTAAAGCAAGGGTTCCTGTATACTTTGCAGGCAAGCTGTTCTAGAGCCCTTCCTTGGTCAGAGTGGGGTAGGAGGTAGTGAGAACTGGAATTTTATTAATATGGTTGGTTTAGCTTAGTTTTGGCCTAACTCAGTATTACTGCTGTGTGAATGAAGTTTTCATCTCATATGGTATGTTATCTGTCCTACATAGGCAGCAAAAGTTCACTTGTGCATGAGCGCATTGGTAGATATTTGAATCTTAATAAGAATATTAGTTCAATTCTGCCTCCCTGGAGTGCTGAGTTCCTTTGTTCTTTTGAGAGATATTTGTACTTTGATAGAAGATCACCAAACAGTTAAAGGAGTAACAGGCAGGAATTTGTCATGCTTCTATAGCATACGGTTGTCAGCTTTGGTCTCGGAGAAGTCAGTATTTGATGTTCATTTTGAAAATGAGCATCTGCCTTAAAATACCAAGCTTAGAATGACTTTGTATGTTTGTTGTCCCTACAGTGAAGTACGAAAGGATGAATATTGAATGATCTTTCATCTGATCATTTTTCTGATCAGAGCTCTATCATTTAATTAAATTAGTTCATTTGAATCATTTTAACTCTTTACAAGATTATTTAGCAAGCTGTTTTGAATGGTAAAAATGATTTGTTTTGGCAAGAGAGCTTTACAAGGCATAGTCAATATCTGATTTACATTCTGGATGACAGCAAAAATGAATATTTTTCCTTAGCCATAGAAAATATTATGACTTCAACTAAAAAATGAATTTGCTTGCTTTACATGTGTATTTTTCCTACGAAATTGGCTGTAATAGTTTAGGTGAGGTAATGTAATGGCTGATGCATCATTGATTCATTCACAGACTAATGTGGCAAAGTGGCAGTGTACTTTGGCCACTTTCCACCCAGATCAAAGGTTAGATGAGGCTGGCAATATATTAATGACTTTACCAAAGTGTGCAGTGTCATTTATAGAGAAAACATTCTTATGCACACTTCGGAGTATGTGTGTGTTTGTTGAAGACCATTTAGATTTACAAAGATTGGAATGATTCTTTTCCCCCTGAAACCACTCTTGGCAAGATCACTCTGGTTATTACATTTGCCTTAGTTTACTTTCTGGTTCTGCAACAAAGCCTTTCATTAAAGAAAGTGCTAACCACATGGAACGCTAAAAGTTTTGATAAATGAGTACATATGTATTCATGTTACATTAAGCGTTCTGTATTATGGATAAGCTGGCAACTCTTCATAATCGTTGGGTAAGTAAACATGTACTACATAGAGGTAACTAAAATGAATTGACAGTTGGATTGCGCAAAGTCTTTGAGTAGCTTCTAGCAAAAAGTGTCTTTTTAATATGTTTGCTTGTAGTTTGGAAACTGCTGTTTTTTACTGAAATTACTGAAAGCTAAGTAACCCAGTACTACTTAAAAATAGAGTACTTTACATTCAGTGTAGAAAATAGAATACACGATTTTAATATGTTGCTGAAATGACTAACAGTTTTTCTAAATCAGGCTTTCTTGGTTCATTTTGTTAGGGTAAAGCTTACTTTAAAACTTAATTTTGGCACCAAGATATTTTGCAGTCTAGTGTCTTAAAAAGAAAACACTGATTTTTCCTTCAGACTTCCACTTAAAGAGAGCAAACAGCAGCAGACAGCAGAAATACACACTTGAAATCAGAGTAATTTATTTATATTTATTTATGTATCTTGTACTTGAGCACTGGGTGCAATAAATGAAAGGGTTAGGGTTTTTAATGCTCATAACTGAGCATGTTAAACAGTTATTTTTAAATTTGAAATGAAGCAGTAACTTTTTGCCTTTCAGCAAAATTGGATGTTAGGTATAACATCTGGCATTACAGAAAATTATAGTATCTTTTTACAAAATGTTTTGTAAGCAGAAGCTAGTATGTTGAAAAGTATAAGAGAAATGTGTTCATGCAGGAGGTCTTAAAATGACTTTTGCATATAGGAATACACATTAGGTGTGCACCAATAAAGATTTTCTTGGCCAATACCAATAGCCAATTATTAACCAGCCATATCAGCTGATACCAATCTGATGCCTGGCTGCAGTTCTGTAAATTGGTTAGCAGGGAGAGCAGCTCCCTGTAGGTAAATCTGTGGAAGGGAAGGCATGTGGGAGGAGGGAAGGGGTGT